ACACACGATATATATATATATATATATATATACACACACACAAGAATGTAAGAAGGTGTGAAAATGCAAAGTTTTGCCTAGTTTAGAGGGTTAAAGGATTGTTTTTAAATAAGATACAACTAAAAGTTTAAACAATTTATGGAAAGTTTGTAAATACTGTAAAGGGAATCTATGTGTGAACATATCGACTGAATTCAAAAAAGTATTATTTGGTTTCTCCATAAATTGAACATTGGAATAACAGAACAAGGGTGTCTTGAAGCACTGACCTACTCTTTAACACAAATTTGTAAAGGGAGGTAAAAGTTTAATAAGAATCAAACCTCATGGTCAAACTGGTTAATATCAGATGAAATTATCTATAAGGTTTTATTTAAAAAGTTGGGGTTGACAATAATAGACTAATGCAAGTGTGAAATTTGGCTTTCTTTCCCTTGAAAAAAGATTTTTCTTTGACTTATGAATAAACCATCTAAAAAAAAGGCGAGGACAAGAAACAGATTGCCTGAAAAACTAGACTTTCCCTCTTGACGAGTTTTCATATAAAAAACCAACAACCACAACAAAATCAACTTTGTGTCTTTTAAACATATGACTTGTGGTAACCTAAATTTCTATTAAGTGTTTTGAGCCTTTATAGCTTCAAAACTGTCTTTTCTAATGCCTAGGTTTTGGCAACTACAGAGGGCCCCTGGGGCATCCAAGGGAGAGGTAAACGGGATTATTTGACATGTTTATTGACATAGAATTTTTGATCAGATAGTGTTTGACTTTAAGGTAATATTTTAGTGAAAATGTTAATGTGTGCTCCAAAAATTGTATGGAATTCCTGGAGTTCTGATGTCTGAGTCTGTGTTATGGATCATAATTAAAGTTATTGTGTTAGGTTGTTGTACATCACAGACGTGACTAAATTTCTTTTGTCAATCATGTTTTTCACCGAGGGAGAGCAGAATCTTCCCTCCCAGGTGCAGCAGCAGTTGTCTGACTCATGGCTATAGACCTGGACCTCCTGCTACACAAGGACAAGCAGGAGCTCTGCCCCTTTTGAGTTGGTGGGGTTGGCGCTCCCTGGGTGCAACTGCAGCCACCCTCCCAGGTGGAAGACATGGGCATCTCTGCTGCCTACATCCTTGAAGTCCTGGCAAGGTCCTCTCCCATTTTTGCTGTCTTGGAGGTGTCAAACTCTGCTCCTGCTTCGTGGCCTCACTCCTCTACCAGCACCTGCACACTCCAATCTCAGAGCACAGTTTTAGTCACACCTGGGGGCCATAAATGGCAGCAGGAGGCAGACAGATTCCTTAGCAGAAAAGAGTGAGTCCCTTGTAGATCACCACGTTTAGGGGCCCACAGACCACAGCAGGGACTTCTGGTGCCTCCTTTTGGCCTGCACATGGCCACCCATGGACCAACTGTAATGCACTTAACTTCCTTCTGAGGCCCAGAAAAGCCCCAGCTTCAGACAGAGAGGACAGAGGACACAGAAACAACGTGATGACCCGTCGCAAAGAGAAGCTACCTTCTCTGCTGGCAGCTTCGGAGACCTGCAGAGACCTCAGAATGACCTGCCTTCAGAGAGAAGTCACTCTTTTCAGGGCATTTTCTCTTCTGAGAGCTAAACACTTGAGGGGATGACCTGCCTACAGAGAGGAGCTACCCACTGTGGGTCTCCTCTGAACTCTTCTAACACTAAATAAAGATCGTCCTTGTTTTCTTCACCCTTCACTTGTCTGCATACCTTATTCTTCCTGGATGCAGAATAAGAACTCAAGCAATGGTGCCACTGATCACAGAGGTTTCCAGGAAAAAAACTGGCAGCTCAAAGATTCTGTAACACACACATAGCATGTATATTCTAACATACTGTCCTAAATGTCTGAATCTAATGTTGCAGACAAATTTAAAATAGGAAACTGAAAGTAGAAATGTATAGGGATAGTAACATCAGTAAGATGGAAAAAATAAAAAGGTGTTCTATTTTCTCATTCCCCCAGAGGAAGAAAATCTGTCAGCCATTCCTGACAAAAATGTCTACATAGTAGAGTCAGACATCATGGCTCACACCTATAATGACAGCTACATTGTACACTGAGGTTGGAGAACTGTTGCAGAAGAATTGTTGCAGAAAAGGATTTCAAGACGAGGCTGGTTTAAGTGGCAAGACCCCATCTCAAAAATAAGTGCCTTTAATAGAGCTTTGAGATCCAGGAAGGAAGTTGTGAAACTCTGCTAAAGCCCAAAATTGAGGAGTGTTCTTTTCAGAAGGCAGGCACTCATTAATGTAGCAAATTACAGGACCTCTGCTCTTGGCTAAAGAACCAGAAAATGGTCCACCCAACTTGGTCTCACTGAGAATTGTGAACTTACGCTGTAACCAATCCAAACTCCTCCCAGCAACCATCTGAGAGAGGCCCTTTGCGCACAGAGGCCTGGAGGAAGATACAAATTAATAGCCACGTAGGCAGGCCTGCAGACCTTGGCCTTTACTGTGATTCCAGAAGCAGTTCAATGACTCAGTTTCAGCTTCCTGGACCACAGTTCATGGCCAGTTATGCCTCCATAGAAACCCACCCAGTGACTTAAAAAAATTCTCTTTGGGACTGGGCATGGTGGCTTACGTCTGTAATCTCAGCATTTTGGGAGACCAACGAGGGTGAATCATGAGGTCCGGAGTTCAAGACCAGCCTGGCTACAATGGTAAACCCCTGGCTACACTAAAAATACTAAAGTTAGCCAGGTGTGGTGGCAGGCGCCTGTATTTCCAGCTACTCAGAGGCTGAGGCTGAGAACTGCTTAAACCCAGAGGCAGAGGTTGCAGTGAACCAATATTGTGCCACTGCACTCTAGCACGGCTGACAGAGTGAGGCTCTGTCTCAAAAAAAAAAAAAAAAGTCCTCTTTGGTATTCAGTGAAAGCCATACTCATCCACACACTGATATAAGGTCCACCATATGCAGACCCATCTGCAGACACCTCCCTTAGTGTATGCTCTACAAATCAAAGTCCTAAAGGATATTCAGTCTGTCTAAAAATAAAATGGAAATTACAACTACCCAAGCTCTTTTAACAAGCCAACTAAAGGTGGACCCTAGTGTAGACTCAGAAGTCTTGTAACAAACCAAACTATGAACCTTCTACACCACAAACCCAGAGAGCATCCCATCACCCTGGGGGCCTAACAAAAGAAAATCTTTGCCTTCTAAAACCATTTTACAAAAACTTGAAGAGGTAGTTGCTCCTTCAAATTCACAGACAACAAAGCAAAACTATATTGTGCTCATTGTCGATGCTTCTATTTTAAGACAGCACTGAAACAATGTGGGAGAAGAATTAGTCAAAAAGTTTTTAAAGACATTGAAGACAAGTAAGTAAAAACTTACTATTTCTAGATTATATAATCATACATATATATATATAAACAGTACATTAAAACCTGTCTAACTAATATACTCATTAAATAAGAAAAATATAATAAAATTAAATTAAAAGTATAAGTTATGGTTCCATACACTTAAAATGAACTCTCTGATATAATAGAAAAACAGTCTATTTGGAATAGCATTAAAATAATAAATTTCTAAGAAAAAAATTAACCAGATGTAAATAATATTTACAGTGAAAGATATGATATCAATAAAAAAATTAAAGACAAAAATAAATTTAAATTTTTTCATGTCTACGGATTGAAAGAATTAATATTTTTAAAATGCCCTATTATCCAAAGTAATCTATAGATTCAACAAATTCCCTTTCAAAATTTCAGTGGTATTTTTCTCAAAGTAATGAAAAATAGAATTGTAAAATTTACATGAAACTACGATAAACTTTGAATAGCCAAAGCAATCTTGAGGAAAAAGAACAAAGCAGAAGGACATCATACTTTATAATTTTAAACTGTATTTCAAGGCTATTGTAATAAAAAGTGGATGGGTTGTGTAGAGAAATGAACAACAACAGCAAAGATGGGACATAAATCACCACTCACACATTTCAGGCATGATGCTAAAGAGAATTTAAAACAAGAGTTTAACATAGAGGTTTCTCAAAATTATGCAGATATTTTTGTGTTCCCCTAACAATGGAAAAGCAGTCAGATTGTGCAGTCTCTTATACTTCATGAAGTGGACTTTGGTCTCTCATTGTAAACTTGAAAGAAGATCACCAAAGAAAAAGTAGAATCTTTAGAAAATTTAAAAACATAAGACAGAAGGTACCTCTGTGTGAGAGCAAAATACAAACTCCTCAGGCACCCCAGAAACTATTCCCTTTGGAACACAGCTTCCCAAATCACATTTTAAAGACTGACTTTCTCTTCGACTTTTGGACCTCTCATCTGTTGCATTCATTCTCACGTACCTGGTGGTTTGGTGACAGTGTCATGTCTCTTCATATTCCAAGGCTCTTTTCCTTGCTCCAGATAGCTGATCAGGGCTGGCTTAGACAAAGCAATACTTGTTTTATTAAAAATAAAGAAACATGAATGTTGCACATATTCTCCAGTTCTCAAGTTAGTAATTTGCTCTGTAACAATGATATAATAGAATATCCTCATAAATTAACCCCAAAATAATTTACAACAGAAATTTTTAAATATTAGAAAATATTTTAAATTTGTGTGTGTGTGTGTGTGTGTGTGTATATATATATATGTATTTGAGAAGAAGTTTTGCTCTTGTTGCCCAGGATGGAGTGCAATGACACAATCTCCACTAACTGCAATCTCCACCACCAGTGTGCAAGCAATTCTCCCACCTCAGCCTCCCGAGTAACTGGAATTATAGGCATGCACCACCACGCACATATAATATTTTGTATTTGTAGTAGAGACAGGGTTTCCCCATGTTGGTAAGGCTGGTATCAAACTTCCGAACTCAAGTGATCTGCCCACCTTGGCCTCCAAAAGTGCTAGGATTACAGGTGTGAGCCACCGTGCCTGGCCTAAATTTGTATGTTTTTAATTTAACTACCTAGTACTACTGAATCAAAAACTAGTGGTAGAAGGCCGGGCACAGTGGCTCACACCTGTAATCCCAGCAGTATCAAAGACAGAGGCAGGCAGATCACCTGTGGTCAGGAGTTAGAGACCAGCCTGCAGAAAATGCTGAACCCCATCTCTACTAAAAATACAAAAAAAAAAAAAAAAAAAAAAAAGAAGCTGGGGGTTGTGGTGTGCACCTGTAATTCCAGTTACTGAGAAGTCTAAGGCAGGAGAATTGTGTAAACCCAGAAATTGGAGGCTGCAGTGAGCCAAGCTTGCGCTACTACACTCCAGCATGAAAACAGAGCAAGATTCCATCTCAAAAACAAAACAAACAAACAACAACAACAAAAAAAATAATTGATGGTGGCAATTAGATTTTTTCTTGTAGGAAACAATGTTTTAAGCCACCAACTTTCCATCATTACCAATAATCTATAGTGAAAAATACAGATCAGCTCAGGAATGTGAATAATTCAGATCAAGATGAAACATCTTGAAGATATTCCTTTCTACACAAATTTCTAAACTTTTTTCAAAACTGGGATCTTAAACTAATCTATACAAAGCAAAAATTACCAAAAACATTTTACAAATAAAATAAAATAAAATAAAACCTTTAGGGTATATTATGAATTGCATATTGAAGTTATTCTCACTGAGGAAGACCAGGTTTCTGTAGTTCTCTAGCATCACATCTCTGTATAAATTCTGTTGTGCAGTGTCCAGGCATTGCCACTCTTCCAGAGAGAATTCTATGGCCACATCCATAAAAGTCAATGGTCCCTGATAGACACACACACACATTACATATTTACCAAGAAGACATGAGCAGAATTTTAAATTTGACCCAAGATGAAATGAGAGTAAAAAGAAGTGCTTCTAATGTATGGGAGTTAATAAAATCTATAAAATAATTCTCAACACAATAATATGTTCTAATGTATTCACTAACTTTGTGTAAAGACAGTCACATAATCCACAACATGAGGGTGTATATATAACAGTTTTTTGGATTGCAAAGTATAAAATTTAGGGCATAAACACAAATGTACATTTTTGAGTGCTGTATTTGCATCAAACAAAATGAGCTGTGTATATCTTTCAAATGAAAAAGACATTTTGAGGTAGAAGGTATCTCTCAAATTTTTTTTTTCAGTTTTTCACTTGTATTTTATTATATTTATTTATTTATTTATTTATAATTTATTTTATTGCATTTTAACTTTTGGGGTACATGTGAAGAACATGCAAGATTGTTGCATAGGTACACACATGGCAGTGTGATTTGCTGCCTTCCTCCCCATCACCTACATCCGGCATCTCTCCCCTTGCTATCTCTCTCCAACTCACCACCCCCCACCGAGCCTCCCCTGTTTCCCCCCAACAGACCCCAGTGTGTACTGCTCCCCTCCCTGTGTCCATGTCTTCTCATTGTTCAACACCCACCTATGAGTGAGAACATGTGGTGTTTGATCTTCTGCTCTTCTGTCAGTTTGCTGAGAATGATGGTTTCCAGGTTCATCAATGTCCCTACAAAGGACACAAACTCATCGTTTTTGATGGCTGCATAATATTCCATGGTGTATATGCGCCACATTTTCCCTGTCCAGTCTATCATCGATGGGCATTTGGATTTGTTCCAGGTCTTTGCTATTGTAAATAGTGCTGCAATGAACATTCGTGTATACGTGTTCTTATAGTAGAACGATTTATAATCCTTTGGATATATACCCAGTAACGGGATTGCTGGGTCAAATGGAATTTCTATTTCTATGTCCTTGAGGAACCGCCACACTGTCTTCCACAATGGTCGAACTAATTTACACTCCCACCAACAGTGTAAAAGTGTTCCTATTTCTCCTCATCCTCTCCAGCATCTGTTGTCTGTAGATTTTTTAATGATCGCCATTCTAACTTGTGTGAGATGGTATCTCAATGTAGTTTTGATTTGCATTTCTCTGATGACCAGTGATGATGAGCATTTGTTCATATGTTTGTTGGCCTCATGTATGTCTTCTTTTGTAAAGTATCTGTTCATATCCTTTGCCCATTTTTGAATGGGCTTGTTTGTTTTTTTTCTTGTAAATCTGTTTTAGTTCTTTGTAAATTCCGCATATCAGCCCTTTGTCAGATGGGTAAACTGCAAAAATTTTTTCCCATTCTGTTAGTTGCCGTTTCACTCTAATGACTGTTTCTTTTGCTGTGCAGAAGCTGTGGAGTTTGATTAGGCTATTTATGACAAACCAATAGCCAATATCATACTGAATGGGCAAAAACTGGAAGGATTCCACTTGAAATCTGGCACTAGACAAGGATGCCCTCTCTCACCACTCCTATTCAATACAGTACTGGAAGTTCTAGCCAGAGCAATCAGGCAAGAAAAAGAAATAAAGGGTATTCAAACAGGAGAGGAGGAAGTCAAATTGTCTCTATTTGCAGACGACATGATTGTATATCTAGAAGACCCCGTCGTCTCAGCCCCAAATCTCCTGAAACTGATAAGCAATTTCAGCAAAGTCTCAGGATAAAAAATCAATGTGCAAAAATCACATGCATTCCTATACACCAATAACAGACTTAAAGAGAGCCAAATCAAGAATGAACTGCCATTCACAATTGCCACAAAGAGAATAAAATACCTAGGAATACAACTAACAAGGAACGTAAAGGACCTCTTAAAGGAGAACTATAAGCCACTGCTCAACAAAATAAAAGAGGACACAAACAGATGGAGAAACATTCCATGTTCATGGTTAGGAAGAATCAATATCGTGAAAATGGCCATACTGCCCAGAGTAATTTACAGATTCAATGCTATCCCCATCAAGCTACCAATGACCTTCTTCACAGAACTGGAAAAAACCACCTTAAACTTCATATGGAACCAAAAGAGAGCCTGCATAGCCAAGTTAATTCTAAGCAAAAAGAACAAAGCTGGAGGCATCACACTACCGGACTTCAAACTATACTACAAGTCTACAGTAATCAAAACAGCATTGTACTGGTACCAAAACAGAGACATAGACCAATGGAACAGAACAGAGGTCTCGGAGGCAACACAACATATCTACAACCATCTGATCTTTGACAAACCAGACAAAAACAAGCAATGGGGAAAGGATTCCCTGTTTAATAAATGGTGTTGGGAAAACTGGCTAGCCATGTGCAGAAAGCAGAAACTGGACCCCTTCCTGACGCCTTACACTAAAATTAACTCCAGATGGATTAAAGACTTAAACATAAGACCTAACACCATGAAAACCCTAGAAGAAAATCTAGGCAAAACCATTCAGGACATAGGCATAGGCAAAGACTTCATGACCAAAACACCAAAAGCATTGGCAACAAAAGCCAAAATAGACCAATGGGACCTAATCAGGTTTCAATGTGTACAATGAACAGGAGATCTTGTCTTGCAAATTATTTTTTTCAGAAGATCCAAAATAAGGACTGAGTTTCTGAATTTCTAACAAGTTCACCAATAATGTAACTGTTTTTGGCTTGATAAGAATATTTGGTCAAACATCCAGTAAATGAAAGAACCTGTTTTTACCAGTTTTTTTGGCCCATAAACATAAGAAAAGAGATTTCTGCAAATTGGCCATGTAATTCTAATTAGAAGCCTGGGCTGATAACCACTTAGCTAAAATTACCTCTCAAGTTTGAATGACCTTATAAATCACTTGGTAATTTTGTCCCCACGCTAGGTAATGTGATTCCGAAGGCTTGCAAAGGGTCCACAAGTGTGTGTTTTAATGAAGTCCACTGTCAATGCTGACATTGCTCCCCCTGTGCTCATCATTAGAATTAATCAGAGAAAACTAGCACAGCACAGAATCCCTTACACTCAGCACTTTTGTCACAACACAAATAATTTTGGTACAAATGAAGACAATCAATCTCCATCCCATAATATCATATTATTTGCTGGATCTTTAGGAGGAAGTAATGACTGAATAAGTCTGCATTTGGAAAATAACATGTACACAGGTATTAATGGAATGTTTATAAAACAAGTACTATGTGATCAAGAGAATGTTACAGAGAACATGCTGGGAATAACATATTTTGAGATTTAATCTTCATAACACCCTGGGATTGGTACTGTCTAATAATTCCCATTGTTTAAATAAAGGGCCCAGCATCTTTCTTTACTTTCCTGTTTCTCTGTAATTGGTTGTTAAAAAAAACGTAGAGAATAAAAGCTAAATATAGACAGATGAGAGGGATACAGAAAAAAAGAGGTTAATGTAGTTTAGAGAAACTGTTATTGGATTTATGTTTACTTTCTTGTTAATTGCTTAACAACTACTGGATCTAAAGGAATAGAAAAAATGTTGCTAAATGGAAAGTCTCTGCAAGCACTGGTTTTAATAGAAAATTTAAAAATTAAGACCTTAAAATACATAGTTTTTTTTTTTTTTCTTTCATTTATCTCCTTTTGTGTTTCAGGAAATTCTGCACAACAGCTCTAGAAAGGTAGCAGGATTCAGCTGGGCACAGTGACTCACACCTGCAATTCAAGCACTTTGCGAGGCCAAGGCAGGTGGATTATGAGGTCAGAAATTTGAGAGCAGCCTGGCCAACACAGTGAAGCCCCATCTCTACTAAAAATACAAAAATTAGCTGGGTGTGGTGGTGCACACTGGTGCTAAGGAGGCTGAGGCAGAAGAATCACTTGAACCCAGGAGGGAAAGGTTGCAGTGAGCTGAGATTACAGCACTGCACTCCAGTCTGGGCTACAGAGCAAGACTCAAAGAAAAAAAAAAGAAAGAAAGAAAGTAAGAAGAAATGTACCAGGATTCACCACCCAAAACTCTGATTTTCTCGAATCAACTCTGTGAGGCAAGACTCCAGGGTGGGGAAAAACCTAAATGAAGCCCCCAAATATGGTGACTCTGAACAGAACTGGGTCAGGCAGAGTACCCTATGTAGAATTCTGTTCTCTATGCCTCTGGGGGGCATTTTCAATTCTGTTTTTCTTAAATTTACCTAAGATAAACTTAAATGCCAGAGTGTGTAATTTTAATCTTTCTTAGCCACTGTGTCTTCAGTTTTATAACGTATACTAATGGACAATTAAAACAAATCTTTTTTTTTTTTTAAAGATGGGGTTTCACCACCTTCACCAGGCTGGTCTTGAACTCCTGACCACATGATCCACCCGCTTCAGCATCCCAAAGTGCTGGGATTACAGGTGTGAGCCACTGCATTCAGCCTCAACTATATGATTCTTAATTCAACAATGTATCTAGTTGCTAGTATAGACTAAAAGTTCCTGGATGGTAAAAACCATAGCTGTTTCAAATATTTTCTGAATGGCCATAAAAAATTAAAAAACTAAAAAAACTTTATCTGTTTGAGTCTCCAGGTCTTATTTTTCATCCAAGTACCAGGAAACGAGAAACTTTCATCTGGATACCAAAGACATCTTTTGTATGAGAGGAGGAACAAATACAAGCTGACTCATTTCTCTTACACTTAGACTTAGGAGAATTAACTACTCTCGTCTGACTGACACAGTTCTGCTCTGGATATCCTCAAATTTCTGAATGTCACCCAGCTTATTGTGAGAGGACTTCCAGTGAGTCTGGGCTGATGGCCCAATGGTAAACCAGGTAGGGGAAACTCAGGCTTATTCTAAATTGAAAATGGAACTGCGCTGGTGGAGTTCCAGAACCTGATTACCTTGTCTTGACTAGCTAGCTCTTGGGTAAGAAGAAGGACAATAATATTGTACTACAGAATAGCATTTTACAGGGAGGCGTAGTTGTGATTATGCTCTGGATATACTGTGGTCTTGGTTTCTCACTCCTAAGATACCTTTTTACACCTGCAGATTTTGCCATCAGATTCGGTTTACACCTGGAGCCTCTCACATAGCTACAGCAGGTCACTGGATAAAAGCTAAAAAGCTCAGAGCCACGTTCTAAAAAGAACTTTAAAATTTTACTGTTGACATTTCACAATGCAGAAAAGGCCTGTTGTTGGTTTTCACTACATATTTAATTCTACGTCTGGTCCTGTTTTGTAATACCAGGCAGAGGCCAGAACTTCTGTGCAGATTCTAGGTGGGATCAACTAGGCTCTGCATTCTTGGGTGTTACAAATGGAGTACAATCAAATGAGAAAGCCCCTCTTACAGGCTTCTCTAGTACATTCTAAGTGATATGTCTACCTAAAAAGAAAAAGCTGAGTCACCATGAATATGAGTAGACAGTGTATTTGGGCCAAACTTGAGGACTGTAACTTGGCAGCAAAGATTTAAGTTGTCTGAAATCTATACATTAATTAGCAGTAGTTACTAGTGAATTTGCAAAGGTAAAAAAAGGAGGACAGAGAATGGGCTGATACAAAAATCCTTATTTATTTACAGAAATAACAGTAATTATTGATTGGATATACATTGTCAAGATTTAGGGTTTGGGTTATGGGGTCCAGTGTGACATTAGTAGTTTAATTTATAGCTACTAATGGCAACAGGAACAGCTTTAAGAGACATAGTTCAAAGGTGAAAAAACAGACTAAATCATGCTCTCATTTTAATGTCTCTCTGAGTCTGACAGCAGAAAGAATTTGCATTTCTCAAATAAAAGGTTTTTTTCCCCAAAATCTCAAGATTCAGAATTTGGATCTGCAGGTTTAGGTAATGGATTGCTGGAATAGCAACAGATGTTACCTGCATCTTTTTGGGCATTTTAGTAAGTGGAAATTTTGGGGCCTTTCAGCAAGAGGAGGAAGGGAAAAGTCAAGATTCTCATGTCATCTCATTACTCTGATTGGGTTTCTGGGCCGGACTCATGGTCTATGAAATCAGTTTTAGCTCTGAAACACAAGAGTCACTGAAAGAGGTAAAATGATTGATTGCTGCCCTGTGAAAGTTTGTAAAAATCTGATCTAGCCTCTCTAGAAGTGACTGTAGGAGACTACAGATAGCAAATACACAGAGACACAATTCTGCCTGCTTATTCAGGGGACAGAATACACTCTGCAGCACAATTATGAGTTTACTGGAAGGCAGAGGGAGAAAGTCCTTGCTAGAGTTAAGCTTGCTTGGCACCTGAGATGTTTATATAATTTCTGATGATTCTAGACAGTATTGGGATACCATAATTAAAAGAAAAATTTTCTCCAGCCCCAGAGAAACTCCACAATAATAGAAAAGAGAAAAAACTGTTTATTATGCAATTAAACTAGAATGTTACATATATCAAAGTCAATCTGCTTAAGAAATTGCAAAGACAGAAAAATGGTCACCATATTTATTACACAAGTAGAATTTATAGCACCATATCACACATAGTTCATTCTAAATTTACCTGGTAACTAAGGTGGCCATCCATGTATGCTAATTACATTCAATGACAAAAGGAACTTTTCACCTCTTCATGACAGAAGGCAATTTTGTAACTTGAAGCCAGATGCCTGCTGAAGGTAGATGCTCACTCTCCAACATAAATGGTTGAATAGGGTGCTACCTTTCTGGCTTTTTATATTTTAAAGCAATGGCTCTCTACTCCCTGAGCACTAGGCTATAGCACTCCTGCTTGCCCAGTCCTGGTGGCTAGTGTGCTCTCTTGATTCCTACCATCCAACACAGAGTCACATCTCACAGCACAGAGTTTACAGCTGATATCTCACATCTTACATAAACCTCAATTGCCAAAGCTGTACTCCAGTGCCACATTAGAGAGTGAAGCCTGAGCTGTAGGAGGGGAGCCTGCAGGCCTCCTGGGTAGAACTGTAGCTTCCAAATAATGAAAACATGAGCAGTGCTTCAGCATCAGCTTCTATTTATAATGGTGTCATAGAAAAAATACTGCTGGATTTCTAGCATGAGTCTAGACAGAGAGAGATCCAAGAGCCCTAACTATGACCATGCACCTCATTCACAGATGCCATGAGGTACTAAAAGGGCTTCTGAAAGACACCCAAAGCTTTAAAAAGAAAAACAGCTCTCAGTCTGGGCAAGATTACATTGAAAAAAAATAAAAAATTAAAAGCATCTTAAGAAAAACTTCAGATCATGTATAAGATTAAGTCAGCCAGAAAATATTTTCCTAAAAGAAATTTATCTCTAAACACCCAAAGTGTACAGCTACTCTCAGCATGAGAAACATAAGCAGTATGAAGAAAAGGGTCATACTTTCAGCAGAATTTTATAAGTTTCTATTTTATCTCTGCTGCTCTGTCATCTTCTGCCATCGAATGTGGGATCTATATTGTAATACATCTAACAATTTCCTCCAGCACTGTCTGATGAAGAATTGGACTCTGACTTTGTTCGTATAGTGGAATATATTTAAGCTGGAACATAGGTAACTGAAGGGCTGTTATAGTGTTTGGATGGCCACATCACTTGCATTTATTTGCCCTGTAATAGTTTATTTGTCTTGTAATAGCAGCATTCAAATTTAGTAAAAGAAAATACACTAAACTTATGAACTATAAGTTATCTCTGCTAGATAAATTAATGTGTGTGTCAGACTAATATCTCCTGTAACAATTTGGTAGTAAATGTATTTTGGATACTAGATATAAATATCTAAGTATAAATAATTTTAATGTAGTAGTTGTAATGTATGTAGGATTTTAAAAAATTATCTTTAACCATAATTCAATTAATACAATTTATATTTCAAAAGTATTAATGACAGTATTAAAATAACTATTTAAGACATGTATTTAGGCCAGGTGTGGTGGCTCATGTTGGTAATCTCAGCAGTTTAGGAGGCCGAGGAGTGTGGAACCCTGAGGTCAGGTATTCTGGAACAGCCTGGCCAACATGGTAAAAGCTTGTTTCTACTAAAAAAAAAAAAAAAAAAAATTAGCCTGGCATGATGGCAGGTGCCTATAATCCCAGCTACTCAAGAAGCTGAAGCAGGAGAAACGCTTAAATCCTGGAGGTGGAGTTGGCAGTGAGCCGAGACCATGCCAGTGCAATCAGGCCTAGGCAACAAAAGCAAAACTTCATCTCAAAAAAAAAGAAAAAAGAAAGAAAGAAATGTATTCAAAATAAATATTATGGCCTAATAAGAATATTGTTTAATTTATGTAAATGCATGTTGTCTACAAACACTACACATAACTATGCTCATTGTTTTATAGATATAAACAGAAGCCAAAGTACAACTACAGACTCCACTCTTCAGTTTATATACTGAACTGCTTTTGCAGTATAAGTACGTCATCCTGTAAATATTCGTTAATTACCTTGGATAATCACTTTCCTACCAAACAAACTTAATCAGTATCTTTTAGACTTTATTATTTTGTAATGCTAAATTTAATCCCATCCTTGTGTTCAACTTTTGTGTTCACTCAGAATGAGCTTTAAACAAATTTGTGTCTACTTTAAAAGGCTAAAAATAGAAAACATAAATCTTTGCCAAAGTAAAAATACAAAGCAATAAATCTGAGGTCCTAAATGAATACAATCCTGAGTCCATAAAAATGAGAAATGGTTTATTTAGCTGTTACAATTATTTACACATATTTTCTGAAAAGCACAGAAAAAACTTACACATAATTTAAATGCTTTAAGGGAGATGAGCAAAATATCCCCCTGATTTCAGATAGGAAAATAAAGCCACTTATTTCTCATTTATATTTTCTCCTAAAGAAGCCAGGTCTCTGGACATGTTTTTTAACGCTTAGACATCTGAATTTTAGTAGACACTGGATTCAGGCATCTAAGAAGTAGCCCTTGGCATACTGTGCACTTGGAAGAATGTTTATGGGGAAAAAAGCAGAAGAGGAAAAAGTGTTATCAAAAGTTCATGGTTGCATATGAATAAATCAAGCTCTTCGAGTCGGATAAAGAGACTTAGATTCCGACACAATAACTGTGGTAGACTACAACAACCCACAGATGATTAGACAGATTTTTAAGACAGAAAATTAACAAAGATATTAGGACCTAAACTCAACACTTCACCAAATTGTCCAAATATACATCTACAAAACTCTCCATCTAAAAACAAGACAATATACACTCTTCTCATTATCATGTGGCACATACTCAATTTATTGACAACACAGATGAGTGCAGTGGCTCACACCTGTAATACCAGCACTTTGGGAGGCTGAGGAAGGCGGATCATCTGAGGTCAGAAGTTCGAGACCAGGCTAATATGGTAAAACCTCATCATTACTAAAAATACAAAAATGAGCTGAGTGTGATAATAGAAACATGTAATTTCAGCTACTCGAGAGGCTAAGGCAAGAGAATTGCTTGATTTTGGGAGGCAGAGTTTACAGTGAGCTGAGATTACATCACCATACTCCAGCCTCGGTGACACAGTGAGACTCTGTCTTAAAAAAAAAAAAAAAAAAAAAAATTTGACCAATCAGAAATAAAACAATCCTCAGCAAATTCAAAAATTCCAAAATCATACCAATCACACACACAGACTACAGCTTAATAAAAATACAATTCAATTAAAAAAAATTGATACCATACAATTACATGGAAATTAAACAACCTCCAATTAAATGACTTTGGGGTAAATAATGAAATTAAGGCAAAAACTAAGAAATTCTTTGAAACAAATGAGAAAAAAGATCCAACATAACTGAATCTCTGCAACACAGCTAAGACAATGTTAACAGGAAATTTTATACCATTTAATGTTCACATCAAAATGGTAGAAAGAGCTCAATTTAAACTTAATATCGTCAATGAAAGAATGGGAGAAGCAAGAGCAAATCAACTCTCTAGCTAGTAGAAGACAAGAAATAACCAAAATCAGATCTGAAATAAAGGAAATTTAGACATTAAAAACTATACAAATGATTGAGAAATCTAGGAGTTAAATCCTTAAAGAAAATACTAAGTTACACTTTACAAGCTAGATTAATGAAAGAACAAAAAAAGAGAAGTTTCAAATTTGAAATGACAAAAGGTACATTATTACTGGCCCCACAAAAATATAAATAACTATTGAAGTCTGGAATGAACAGCTCTATGCACACAAACTAGAAAATCTAGAAAACAATGGATACGTTTCTAGACAAATACATCCTCCCAAGAGTGAACAAAAAAAGAAATTGAGTCCCTGAATAGACCAATAACAAGCTCCAAAACTGAATTTGTAATAAATAGCCTACCAACCAAAAAAAGCTCAGTACCAGACAGATTCACAGCTTAATCCTACTAGATATACAAAAAAGACCTAGTATCATTTCTACTAAAACTATTTCAAATAAATTGAGAAAGAGGGACACCTCAGTAAGTCATTGTATAAGAACATCATTCTTATACCAAAACCTGGCAAAGATAAAACAAAAATAGAAAACTTGAAGCCAATATCTTTGATAAACATTGATAAAAAAATCCTCAACAAAATACCAGCAAATCAAATCTAGCTGCACATCAAATAATTAATCTAGTATGTTCAACTATGTTTTATCTGCAGGATGCAAGATTGGTTCCACACACAAAAATTAATAAATGCTATAAAACACATAAACAGAACTAAACATAAAAAACACAAAATATTTCAATAGATGCAGAAAAAAACTTCCAATAAAATTTAGCATCTTTTTTTTGTTAAAAGCTCTCAACAAACTATGCGTTGAAGACACATTCTTCAAAATAATGAGTTATCTATGACAAACCAAAAGCCAAATACTGAATGAAAATAAGCTGGAAATTTATCCTTGAAAACTGGAGAAAGACAAAACTGCCTTCTCTCACCACTCTTATTTAACATAGAATTCAAAGTTCCAGCCAGAGCAATCAGAGAACAGAAAAAATATAAACATTCAAACAGAAACAGAAGAAGTCAAACGATCCCTGTTTGCAGATGACATAATTTTATATTTAGAAAATCCTACAGTCTCAGTGGAAAAGCTCTTTAAACTGACAAGCAACTTTAGCAGAGTTTCAAAATACAAAACAGATATACTAATGTCAGTAGCATTCCTGTACATCAACATCAACAGCAACAAAACCAAAGCCAAACTTAAAAAAACAAAAAATTCCATTCACAGTATTTAGGTGTATACAGCTAACCAGGGAGGTGAAAAATCTCTTCGAAAAGAATTACAAAACACTGAATAAAGAAGTCAAAGATGAAACAAACAAATGGAAAACCATTTTATGCTCACAAATAGAAAAGACCAATATTAAGATGGGCATACTGCCCAACAAAATTTATAGCTTTAATGCTATTTCTGTTAAACCACTGATGCCCTTTTTAACAGAACCACCACCAAAACTATTTTATATTTCATTATGAAACGAAAACAACAACAAACGAATAGCTAATGCAATCCTAAGCAAAAAGCATAAAACTGAAAGCATTACATTACCAACCTCAAACTATACTACAGGGCTACAGTAACCAATGCAACATCGTAGCAATGCAACACAATACAGGCCTAGAAATAATGTCACACACCTACAACCATCTGACCTTTAAAAAAGCAGACAAAAAGAATTTGGGAAGATATATGTTTTCAATAAATGGTGCTGAAATAACTAGCTAGTACTATGTAGAAGATTGAAAACGGATTCCATCCTTAGTCCATACACAGGACTTAAACTAAAGACCTAAATGTAAAACTTAACGTTGTAAAAATAAATAAATAAATAAAAACACTGACAGATAATCTAGGAAATACCATTCTAAACCTAGAAACTGGCAAAGATCTCATGATAAGGTACCAAATCAATTGCAACAAAAGCAAAAATTGACAAATGGGACCTAATGCCACTAAAAAGTTTCTTCACAAAAAAAGAAACTATTAACAGAGTGAACAATCTACAGCATAAAATAATAATAATAATAAAACATTTGCAAACTATGCTTCTGTCAAGGGTCTAATATCCAGAATCTATTAAAAAACAAAAAACAAACAAAAAAAACTTAAAACAGGGAGATTTCCACCAAAATGACCAAATAGGAACAGCTCTGCAGTACAATTCCCAGCGAGAATAACTCAGAAGGCAAGTAATCTCTGTATTTTTAACCAAGGTACCAGGTTCATCTTAATAGGACTGATTTAACAGTGGGTATAGCTGAAGGAGGACAGACTGAGGCAGGGTGGGGTGTAGCCTCACCCAGGAAGTGCAATAAGCTGGAAGGCACTCCCTTCTACCCAACGGAGGCCATTGGGGACGTTCGGCCACTCCAGAGCTCTGGTTCCGATACTGTGCTTCCCTTGTGGTCTTTGCAGTCCACAGACCAGGAGATCCCGCATGCCAACACGCACCGCAGGTTTTCAGGGCAAATTTGGGCTGCTGATTAAGCTGCCAATGCGCGTTTCCAGCAAAAATCTCTGCAGCTGTTTTGACTGGTGCCTGGAGCGCCTAGAGCACCTGTGAGACAGGGTCACCCATACACCTGAGAGAAAGGGGGTTGAAGGTGGGGAGCCAGGTGATCTGGCTCTGCAGGTTCCACCCCCACAGAAACCAGCAAATTGAATCCCACCGGCTTGGGATTTTTACAGCCAGCGTAGAAGCCGTTTGAGCTCAACCCGGTCAGTCGAGTCCCATGGGAGGAGGGACATCCGCCATTACCACAGCAGCTCTAACCTTACCTGTGTAAACAAAAGCATGAAGAAGTTTACACAGCAGCTGGGGGGAGCCCAAAGCAGGCGGCAGCTGAACAACGTCTCTGCAGGCAAAATGACTTGACTTCCTTTTTGCTGAGCAGAACATCTCTGAAAAAAAGGAAGCAGCCTGTCAGAAGCTGACACATAAAGCCACACCTTTCCGGGACAGAGCACCTGGGAAAATGAGCGGTTGGGAGTTTTGTGCAGGAGACTTAAATGTTCCTGCCCAGAATCTTTAAAAGGAGTAATGAA